GGCTCCGGCGGTATCACACAGGCACGTCACCCAAACCCGACGCACAGTCACATTTCCACAGCACACGGTCACATTTCCACAGCACAGTCGTCTTGTGCGAGCTCCTGGTGTGTTTTTTCCCATGTGCCAGGTGTACATACACCCTGCGATACACCCGGGTGGGTACACGTGGACACGTTCCCCGTGGCACGGTGGTACGGTGGCAGGCCGGGCTCGCACAGCCCCCCAGGGTACATCCGCGCCTGGGGGCAGCGGGTAGGGGTGGACTGGCCAGGGCGATGGTGCGGGTGCGCCTGTGAGGCCTGGGGTGAAGGTGTGGGTGTCAGGCGGGGTTTGGGTGTCAGGCGGGGTTTACGTGTCAGTAGGGGAAGGTACGGGTGTCAGTGGGGTCAGGGGGGTGGAGCTGTAGGTGTCCATGTGGGTGTCCATGGGGGAAGTGAGGGTGCCAGCACGGTTGTAGGGGGGAAGGTGTAGTTGGCCATGAGGAAGGGAGGTGGCTGTGGAGGAAGGAGCAAGTGTCCGCGTGGGTGTTGTGTGGGTGTCCATGGGTAGGAGCAGGTGTCTGTGGGGAAGGAGCTGGTGTCAGTGTGGGTGTCCGTGGGGAGGGAGTGGGTGCCGGTGTGTCTGTGCGGAAGGAGCGGGTGTTGGCGTGGGGGTCCCAGGGGAAGGAAAGTGGGTGCCTGTGGGGGGATGATGTGGGTGTGCGGGTGGGTGTCAGTGGAGGAGCTGGCACGGAAGGATGGGAGTCTGTCGGTGGGGAAGAAGGGGTGCCCGTTGGGGGTGTTGGTGGGGAAGAAGGGGTGTTGGTGGGGAAGAAGGGGTGTCTGGGGGTGTTGGTGGGGAAGAAGGGGTGCTGGTGGGGAAGGAGGGGAGGCTGTGGGGGTGACAGTGGGGAAGAAGGGGTGTCCGTGGGGAAGGAGTGCCCATGGGGGTGACAGTGGGGAAGAAGGGGTGTCCATGGAGGTGCTGGTGGGGAAGAAGGGGTGTCGGTGGGGAAGAAGGGGTGTTGGGGGGAAGAAGGGGTGGCCGTGGAGGTGCTGGTGGGGAAGAAGGGGTGTCCGTGGGGGTGTCGGTGGGGAAGAAGGGGTGTTGGGGGGAAGAAGGGGGGTCCGGGGGGGGGTCGGGGGG